TATAGTTTGTGTATTGCTAAAACTTTCGTCTCTGTAATATTAATGGTGATTCATGTATTCTAAGATAAGATTTACTGAAGACTATACAATTTTAGGGGAAAGATAGCAATTTTTCTGTTATTGAGCTTTTAGACCTTGTTACTTGATTGTCAAGTGATGGTTCTGTCTTGTGTTAAAGCGAGATTTGGGGGTTTGCGGTGCCAGGGGTTTTGTTGGTCTGAAGGAATAATCATTTGGCTCACGTAGCAGTCTTCATTTGGTTTTGTTTCAGGCTATCAGGCGTGCAGCAGAGAATAGGGATGATGATTCTGCATATTTGGATGGGAATTCTATTGCCCCAAATCTTGCTGAAGATAATGAACTCAGCAAAGAGGAAAATGGGGATTTGTCTAATTCAGATGTAGATAAGATGGTCCCCGTCACAGAGTCAAATGTAGATACCATGATTGATGATTCAGATAATCCAGCAAGCAATTTTAGGTGTACTGCCTGTAATAACGTAGCTGTGGAAGTGCATAGTCATCCGCTTTTAGAAGTAATAGTTTGCATGGATTGCAAACGTTCAATTGAGGATAGAGTTGCTAAGGTATGTTGTATCCTCTTCCAATTTTATGTGACTTACGATGTATTTGCGTATGGGTCAGAATATAGGTAGAAAATATAATCCTTTACCGTGCTGAATATCATGTTATATGGAGGACTGTCTTTTCTGAAATGAATAAAAACTACCAAATGTGTTCTCGGACTGACAAATATTCTTGCCATATCTTTCCTCTTTCTAACCAAAATGTTGACTTTTACCAACAGGTTGATGACTCTTCGGAACGTCATTGTGAATGGTGTGGTCACATTGCTGACTTAATAAATTGTAGGTCATGCGAAAGACTTTTCTGTGCATCATGTATAAGGAGGAATATTGGTGAAGAATATTTGTCTGAAGCTCAATCCTCTGGTTGGGATTGTTGTTGTTGCTGTCCAATTCCCTTGCAAAGACTGACACTGGAACTGGAGAAAGCCATGGGAGATAAGAAGTCAACAGAGTCCAGCTCTGATTCCAGCTCTGATTCCAGCTCTGATAACAATTCTGTTGATACAGATGCTGATGTCAATGTAGCAATAAGGTATTATTACATACATATTCACTAGATATAAACTCCTGCATGTTTCCAACTAATTTTAATTAGTATTGTTGTGTTATTTTTCTTACKTGCATGAGTTTTTKTCTCTTAGCTCAAAGAAGAAATCAAAAAAGAAAATTCGGCGGATAATTGATGATGCTGAACTAGGGAAACATACGAGAAGAAAAATTGCAATTGAGAAGGTGTTAACTTTCTCGACTCTTACTTTTGTTATACTGGTTTATTAACTGAAATATGTTTCTAGTTTTTTATTAATGCTCATTGTACATTTGGATCTTTCTTTTTGTAGGAACGACAGGAGCGCCTTAGGTCCTTGCAGTTTTCTGCCAGATACAAAACAGTTGGCTCTATGGCTATTCCAGAAGGTGCGGAAACTGAGGTTCTTGGTGATGCTCACAGTGGTTACATAGTGAATGTGGCTAGGGAGATTGGTGAAGAAGCTGTGAGAGTTCCTCGTAGCATATCTGCCMAACTAAAAGTCCATCAGGTTAGCATATACATATGTGCATCCCTTGCKRAGCCTAAATTATCTTCATATCATACTYCCATCTCGCTTGTCACCTGTACTAGTGGGCATTAAACATACCCATCTCATCTAGAAATGCTTATTGTGAAATWWCTTTTGCTGTAACATTGTTGGTTTCTATTTTCAGGTAACAGGGATTAGATTTATGTGGGAAAATATTATTCAGTCTATTAGCAGAGTGAAGTCTGGTGATAAAGGYCTTGGGTGCATTCTAGCACATACAATGGGCCTGGGCAAAACTTTTCAGGTGCTTAAATTTTTTTCATGCACGAGTCTGTTTGCATGTATCTTATCATCATCTCATTTTATTAGTGCATACTAGTAATCATTAATCCTTAATATAATATCTGTTACTGGCTATTTATCTCTTCCCTCACTGTAATCCATCAGGTTATAGCGTTCCTGTACACGGCAATGAGATGTGTTGATTTAGGGTTGAAAACTGCTCTTATTGTGACTCCTGTAAATGTGTTGCACAATTGGCGAAGTGAGTTTATGAAGTGGAGGCCTTCAGAAGTGAAACCACTTCGCATTTTCATGCTTGAAGACGTTTCAAGGTATAGATTCTTCTATGAAAGAAGCTTTTGGTTGCGGATTTTCCATGCTTCCAAACTTAATGTGTGTTGTGATAGATCATACGAGAATGAAAGGCATGTATGTGTAGTACTTTGCGATTCAGGAGATTAGATGTATGTGTTCATATGTTGTTCTGGGTCTTAAGAGATTAAAAATGAGGGTTGGGTAGTCTAAACCTGTGTGCTCGTAATACTGCTAAACATTAATTTTACGAAAGCTATAAGACCGTGTCCCTAATAAAAGAATATTGATACAACCCCTCTCGTCCAACTACACAGGATCTCAGCTGTCTTAACTTCCTACTAATCTGCCAAAATGGTCCATATATCTAATACTTCGATTTTGGTACTTATTTTGGCCTATTTAAGGTGTATTTTTGGTGACAGTTTGTCAGCTCACTTCCTGCGCTAATGTCTTTTTTTKAAGGGAGAGGAGATTGGACTTGCTAAMGAAGTGGCGAAATAAGGGTGGAGTCTTCTTGATGGGGTATGCCGCTTTTAGAAACCTGTCTCTTGGGAGGGGGGTGAAGGATTTGAATGCAGCCAAAGAAATCTGTAACTCCTTGAGGGTGAGACTGTAATTTCACTGGTAGAATTGATTGATTTCTATCCTGTTTGTATTCTAGATCTTTTAAAGAAGGTTGATCTTTCTTGTTTAGGTCCTTCTGTGAATTCTGATGCCTATTTTAATGCATTTCTGTGTCATAGAGTATTCTTCTGTTTTCATGTTCTCTTGTTTATGATTTTCCTTGTGCATTCTTTTTTCCATGTTCCAATGCTTGCGGTGTTTTATTCTTGCAATCCCCTTTACCTATGTGGCTGCAGGAGGGACCTGATATACTTGTTTGCGACGAGGCTCACATTATCAAGAACACCAGGGCTGACACAACGCAAGCATTGAAGCAAGTTAATTGCCAGCGAAGAATTGCCTTAACTGGGTCGCCCCTTCAAAACAATCTCATGGAATATTATTGTGTAAGTTACTGAAGGAACCATAGAAACTTTTGAACTAATTTTTTCTCATTCCCAGTTGTATAAGTTACCTTTACTGTAACAGATGGTTGATTTTGTAAGAGAAGGATTCCTCGGAAGTAGCCCTGAGTTTAGAAATCGGTAAGTCTTTCATACAAGTGTTTTTTTCCGCTGCCTGTGATGATGTTATTTTTCTAGAGTTTTAATCGTGCTTCCCCATATCTGCAGCTTCCAAAATCCAATAGAAAACGGACAGCATATGAATTCAACTGCAGAGGACGTGAAAATTATGAACCAGAGATCACACATCCTGTATGAGCAACTGAAAGGATTTGTACAAAGAATGGACATGAATGTTGTGAAAAAGGATCTGCCACCTAAAACTGTCTTCGTAATATCTGTCAAGCTATCACCTTTGCAGCGGAAATTGTATAAGAGATTTCTTAAGCTGTATGGGTTCAGCGATGGAAGAACAGATGAAAGGATGAGAAAAAACTTTTTTGCTGCTTACCAGGTCTTGGCTCAGGTATAAATGTGATGAATGTCTTGCTAGTGCTTAAATTAATAACTGATATGGGAAGAAAAAAATGAATAACTGATAAGCCCATCTAGAGAATTTATTTTGTTCCCGTTTGTTCGTATTCTGAATCCTCACTGTCGTGTTTCGTCTCCCAGATTTTGAATCATCCAGGGATTCCGCAATTAAGAAGAGAAGATAGCAAAAACGGTCGTCGTGGTAGCATTGTTGATATTCCAGATGACTGTTCAAGTGATGAAAATATAGACTCCAACATGGTTGTGGGAGGTAACTGTTAATTGTCACTGCTTGCTTTTTTTATGATTTGTTTGAACGACAAAAATAAACTAAAGAAAATATTGGACTTCTGTCATGGTAAGATGGAATTTTGTTTTCTGGTGCAGTAGGAATTAAACCTTTTGTACCGTTTTAGTCTGAATAAGCTTCTAAAGATAATATTGGACTTCTGTCGTGTATGTTTTTAAGCTTCATCATATTCTACTGAGCTCTCAGGAGTGATCTTTCTTAGTTTACATCTATGACAAATTCAATAACTGTAAAAATAAGCCGTGTCATCATTGTTTTGGATATTGACAGAGAAACAGAGAACTATGAGTGATTTGCAGGATAAAGTGGATGGCTACCTCCAGAAGGTAACTATAATCTACTCAGTCTGACTGAATTAGTAACTGCTGCCCACAACTTTAAACGAAACAGCGTAATAATGCAATCTTGTTTGATTCTAACCTTGTCAATGTGCCAGGATTGGTGGGTCGACCTACTTCAGAAAAATAATTACAAGGTGTCGGAATATAGTGGTAAAATGATTTTGCTGTTGGATATTTTATCCATGTGTGCTGATGTGGGTGATAAGGCGCTCGTGTTTAGCCAGAGTATCCCGACATTGGATCTCATAGAACTTTATCTATCGAGRCTACCTCGTCATGGTAAACAAGGAAAGTTCTGGAAAAAGGGAAATGACTGGTATAGGTTGGTATCTTGTTCTTTTCTATTAGCATGAATGTTGTGTGAACAATTATGAAGGCTCTAACTTCCCTTTGCATGGATGCAGAATTGATGGAAAAACCGAAAGCTCAGAACGCCAGAAGTTGGTTGATTAGTTCAATGAGCCTGAAAACAAAAGGGTGAAATGCACTCTAATCTCAACCAGRGCAGGATCCCTTGGAATAAACCTTTATGCTGCTAACCGTGTGATCATCGTTGATGGTTCATGGAATCCAACCTATGATCTTCAAGCTATATTTCGAGCCTGGAGGTATTTCTTAGGCTACTGATGGAATAATTCTTTTTCAAAATAGCATTAAGAAATGTGACTTATAATAACGTGGAATTATTGTTTGCAGGTATGGCCAAAAGAAGCCAGTATTTGCGTACAGGCTGATGGCACGTGGGACTATTGAAGAGAAAATATATAAACGGCAGGTATTGAAAGACTTAAACATTTTGAGTTATAGTATCTCTTTCTTTCAAGGAGACATTTATGAATTAGATATGTGAATTAGGTGACCAAGGAGGGACTCGCTGCGAGAGTGGTGGATAGACAACAAGTGCACAGGACTATCTCCAAAGAAGAGATGTTACATCTTTTTGAATTTGACGATGATGATGATGAAAAGTCCGATGCTGATATAAGCAAGCAAAACGATGCAATAAATAGCCAAAACACTAGATTACGGATGGAGAATTCACAGAAACAGAAGGCCAGTGTATGTCGCGTTGGTTGCTACTCTGACAAATTGATGGAGAACTTACTACAGAGACACAGCCCCAGGTGAGTTTGCAAGTGAACCATATTCACAGTCAGTACTTACATTCTTCAGTATACTAAGCTACTTCCTTTTTTGACTCACTCTCTGTGTTTTCTTTTACTAGCTGGATTTCCAGTTTCCATGAGCACGAGACATTGCTACAAGAGAACGAAGAAGAAAGACTGACAAAGGAAGAAAAAGACATGGCCTGGGAAGTTTACAGAAGAGCACTTGAGTGGGAAGAAGTTCAGCGAGTCACACTCAACGAATCTCCGGTGCTCCAAAAACCTCCCCCTTTTGTACAAACAGAACCCGTACGCCAGCTAAAGGGGTTCAACAGAAGTCGTTTTGTGATCCGGAACTGCACAAGAATCGCGCATCAGCTTACACTCATAAGCCAAGGAAGAAAAGTCGGTAGCAGCACGGTCTGTGGGGAATGTGGGCGCGTCATAAGGTGGGAAGACCTTGTACCTGCATCCAAACTTTCAGAGGTAAACTGAATAAAGCGAAAATAGTTTAATTTATTTTTACTTTCTTTTAGGTTTGAGACTGATATCAAAATTAAAAGGGAATAGTACCATTTGAAATTCCTTTTTAGATTATAGATGATTTAGATTACAGTTCCATTGCCGATATCAAATCAGGGCGTTTGTTAGGGTTGATTTCTAATGATGTTGAAACTTGTAAATCCAAAGCGATTAATGATTTGTAAGAGTAATCACTTTGCTGAAATGTTATTGAATCATTGGTGGATCATATAAGCGCTTTTCGGGGCAAGGTTTTGTTTGTCCAACCTGAATTTTCGAGGCACTATGTTTCGACATGTCTGTTCAATTTTGAGTATACGAATAGTGTACTTAAAATTCGAATTTCAGTCTGTGGATAATCCAGTAAAAAAGGAAGAGGAAAAGTGTGACAAATGTGACAAAACACTGAAACCTACTTAAGAGCAATTAGATGTAACAGGCTGTCTAATTCAACCATTGCCGACTTACAAAACTGGTTTCCTGTACAAAAGCCAAAAAGAACAAACAAAAGAAAGGTTTCAATGACGTCTCCTACATTTCTCTCAAGAGTTTCCATTCCTTCAGCTTCTTCTGCAACTGATCAGCCTCGCTTCCCATTCCCATCTCTTCAACGCCTTTAATTATTGCGGTATATATTGTCTCATCTGGTTTACGCCCACTTGTTAGCATTATCTCAACAACCTGTATCGCCATTTCCATCTCTTTATTCTTGCATAGCCCTTGGATTACCAACCTGTAAGTGCTAGCTCTGATCCCATTCCCTCTATTGCTCGTCTCCTTTAAAACTTGACTCGCTTCTTCAACTAGGTTTGCCCGGCAGAAACCATAAATCAATGATCGACGGGTTATATCATCGGGAGAGATTCCAGCGTCCAGCATCTGATGGTATAGCTCCAATGCTTTCTCCATCAGGCCCTTTCTGGCCAACCCATCGATTACAGAGTTGTAAGTGATCAAGCCCGGTGAACAACTCGTGTTTCTTAGCAATCCAAGTAACTCAATCGCCTCATTGACCATTCCCTCTTTGGACATGGCTCCTAGAACTGTATTGTAAGTGACAATGTCAGGCGAGCACTTTTGCTCCAGCATTTGGTAGAAGAATTTGATTGCACGACCCAAAAGCCCAGCTTTGCACAAACCATTAATCAGGATGTTGTAAGTAATAACTGTTGGACAGTAGGATGTTCGGTACATGATGTTTAGAATCTCGTCCACTTCATTCCAGTACCCATGGGAACAAAGGGAATGTAGAAGAGTGTTGTAAGTTACAGTGTTCAGTTCCAATCCACGAGATATAATATGCTGAATGATCAAAGCCACCTCTTCTAAATTCCCTCGCCTGCAGTTGTAGTTTACCAGAGAATTATATGTAACAATATCAGGATGACAACCTTCCACCGCCATGTCTTCTAAAACTTCCAAAGCTCGAGTGCTTCCACAGTATCTGCACACAAGTTCGACCAAAACTGTGTATGTAATCATATACGGAGGGCAACCATTCCGCAGTTGATCCTTCCAAAACTCAATGGCTTGCTCTGCATTCCCATCATCGAACATACAGCGAATAATTGTATTGTATGTGATCACATCTGGAGGGCTCCCACTCAAACTCATGTCTTCTAAGAGATTCAAGGCAGATCTCAAGTCCCCTTTCTTGCAAAGATTTCCGATGATCATGTTATAGGTAATCGTATCTGGAGCCCCACCAGACATTACCATGATTCTCAGGATACCCATTGCTTTATCCATTTTATCGATTTTGGCTAGGCCACGAACTAAGTTTCTGCAAGAAGGAAAATGTGGAACCTGATTATGCCGTGCCATTACCTCGACAAGTTTGCACGCGTCTGTTAACTTCCCATAGCTGCACAGGTTATGAAGGATCTCATTGTTCGTCTCTTCTTCATTCTCGACAAGCGGTCCATCAGATGATAAACCTGTAAAACCTATAACCTTCCTTGGTTTCACTTTAACTCTGAAGTTATTACCGACACCAAAGTGATGCAATTCTGAGCTTCTCTCAGCATGATCATCAACATCATCTACATGGTCAATACACACACTACTTTGCAAACCATGACATCTCATGAAAACATCCCTTTTCGGCCCAATTTTATTCTTCCAATCTAAACAAGATAAAGGGTTCACCAAACGGACTCCATAACAGAGATTCGCCTGCTTTGGAGACAAATTTGGAATATGCAAAAAGTGAGTCTCAAGTAGCAAATTTGATGAAGCCATCTCTCAGAATCCACAAAGATCTTTCCTTTATCGAGAGCTTATTAACCTCAATGATGAAGAACTCAGACCCACTCAATGATGACTTAATCTTATAGTGGAGAAAGCAAACCTGTGAAATCCAAAAACCAAAGGCACAATTTTCAGAGACAGAGAAGAACACACAGACAGATTCGAACAAAAAGAAGTAGAATTTCCTCAGAATACGGCTAAGTTTGAGCAACCACAAATGAAGAAACTTGTTCCCATTTTACTAAACATGTGTGGAGAAATGAAATAGACGAGTGTAAGAAACTCACCGTTCGTTCTTCGATTCAGAGTTCAAGCTGGGTTTTTTTTGGCTTCACTGGGTTTGATGTGATAAGTAGGGTTTATCTTTAATTTATTACGTATACCCTCCATCTCTCTGTTTTTTTCATTTATGCCCTGTAATTTGTAAGAAGTTCTAACATTCACCGGTAATGTATCCTCTCTACTATTTCACTCAATTTAAGTTCTGGACTGGGATTTTCAAAGTTTTGGGCTGAGTCACGATATTTTCATACCCTTTTCCGTTTGATTTTTTTCTTTTTCTAATAATCCCATGACTTTTACATATATTTTAAACCATTTATAGATCTACATCATGTACTTATTAATATTTTTTTCCATAAGAACCAATAATAATCAATTATTCTCCATTATATATTTTTGGGACAATTACAAAAATGTCACTTTTTGTGAGTACATTTGCAAGAATACCACTTAGAGGTGTCATTTGCAAAAATAGCACTAATTATAAATTTA